CGAGGAGGAGTAGGAGGAGGAGGGGGAGGAGGAGGAGGAGGAAGAGGGGGAGGGGGAGGAGAGGAGGAGGAGGAGGGGGTAGGAGGAGGAGTGTAGGAGGAGGAGGAGGAGGAGGAGGAGGAGGAGGAGGAGGAGGAGGAGGAGGACATTCGAGGACATTCGAGGACATTCGAGCGAGGGGCTCCGCGGTCGACTCGGCCGCCGCGGCCCCCGCCCGCGCAGGCCGCGCGGGCTCTCAGGGGTCGCGACCCCACCCCCTGAACAGGGCGGGCGTCCACCCTACTGGCACTCCAGGCCAGAGTAGCTCTCAGGGGTCGCGACCCCACCCCCTGAACAGGGCGGGCGTCCACCCCACTGGCACTCCAGGCCCGAGTATCTCTGCGGGGCCGTAGCCCCGCGCCATGAAGTCAACCACGAGGTCGTCGCCCAGCTGCAACTCGTGGTAGCCGCCCGCCGTTTGGCGGGATCGTCCCATCTGGCCAATTCTGGCCAGCCTTTGGTGGTAACCCTTGCCGTAGCCGCCGAAGTACAGAAGTCCCGCTCTGCGTGATCTTGTTCCTGCACTCCATCGCCAGTAGGTTCACCCTGCCGTGTCCGTAATCGTTGTGCGAAGCCACAGCAGCACAGTTCCAGCACCAGAACTGCCCATGGGCCACTGCAATGCTGTGACTGTCGTGTATTACTTTGTCTTTGATCTCGATCAGCTCGTTGTTGGGAACACGGACTGCATGTCCATGATTTGCTCGGTGTGTTTCGTACTGCCTCCCGATGCACACGCTAGCCTTCATCCAATCGACCACGTTGTACTTGCCTGGGGTTAGCCAGCACTCTTGGCATACCCATTGCCCTTTCTTCTTTCGCATTATGTGGCCCGACTCCTTCTCGATCTGGTCTCTTCTTTCCTTTGCTATTTTCTTAGGCATCTGCTTGGGCCTCTCAAGCTTGGTGGGGTCCGCATCCTTGCACACCTCGTGGATGATCGCTGCTGCCCTCCTTTGGGCCCTCATAAGCGTAGTCTCCACTTCCACCAACGCCTTGACCTCTTGCCGTATTTCTGCCATTGCCTCTTCTGCTCCTCGCTGCGCCAGCGTATCCGCCATCTCATTGCCCATGCTGATGTGGAATTCCTGGCCAGCCTGCTTAACAGCTTCGCCGTCGAGGTGGGCTAGGCACTTCTGGACTCGTATTCCAAAAACCCCGCCAGAACGCCTGCTGAGCATCAGTTTTACCCTTTCCCACCATGGTCGCTGAGCACCTTGGGGCTGCTCGTAGTACTTGAGGGTCCAGCCATTCATCACCATCTGGCAGTCCGTGGTGATCAATAAGGGGCCTCGCGTCAGCGCTGGTGCCCAGAAGAGTCCTGCATGTTCGGCAGCAGGTACACATTGTTCTCCATCTACGGTGCCATAGAACCCGATATGGTCTGTGCCTTCAATGAAGCCCGTGTTGTCGCTCGGCAGGCTGGCCTTGTAGATCTCGTGGGCCACCACATGTATGGCTGCTGGTCGGTCCTCCTCATTGTCTTCATAATGTTCAGGCATTTCCTGGTCGAAAGTGGGTGTTCGGTCTTGCAACAATTCGCGGAACTTGGCCTTGATGTCCGCTACGCTGTCGAACCAGTGGGATATGTATGCTTCTCTTTCCCAGCCCGTAAGGGTGAGGGAATACTCGTACACGTCTTTCCGATTCTTCTTGGATGATCTCCATTGCATATCACACAGGTCTTTCGCGATCTGGCTCGTGCTTCGGACCTGGTATCTTGCTTTGAGTAGTTGTCGTAGTGCTGCTTGTTCTGGTTGTCGCAGGTAGCTTTCCATGTACGGTTCACACCACATCTTCCAATTAGCTTGTTTCCTGGTCTCGTCTAGGTCGATGTATACCGTCCATGTAGCTGCCCATACGCCAAGGTCGTGCATGATGCCCTTTCTCTGCTCCTCCGCTTCTGTGTCCGTTGGTGCAAGTCTCCGCTTCATGGCACAATTTGGTTGGGCTCCCTTGTGCCTCGAGGGCGTTGGGGCACCACATGTGTGCTTGCCCTGGCCGTTTCCATCGTTCATCTCGTAGCTGTAATGTGAGGCCCCATCCCACTCTATTGATGCGCATGTCGTTGCTGGTGCCTGATCCATCTACGAAGGCCATGCTGCACTGAATGGGATCCATCGTAACCAATTTGCTTGCTATTACTTTGGGTCCTCTTGTTGCTGTCGTCCAGTAGCTGCCATTCCAGTCACCTCATGCTGGTGGATCAGGTACAGGATTCCTGTGCTTGGGGAGTAGCCCTCGTAGCCAGTATGCCTCCGTCTCTGGGTTGTCGTGCATCTCCTCTAAGGCCTGCTGACATAACGACTGTGACTTGACCACCGCGTCAATCTGGAGGTTGTCGTTCATTTCGCACTCGTAGATCCTGTGCTTCAGCGTGTCAGGCGCCTTAATACAACGCGGACAAACTCCATCTGTCTGGTATCCTGCTGCTTTGCATCGTTGTCCTGTCCATATCGTGCCACAAGCAAGTGCTTCTAAGGCTCCTGCTTCTTGGACTCGGTCAGCTTTACGTAGTTTCTGGAGCGTCTTCTTGAGCATGGTGGTGTCCATCCCCTGCTGCAAGCCCTTACCGTAGTAGTGGTCCGCTGCTTTGGTCCAGAGCTGAGCTTGCATGACCCTGGTGATGGACTTCATGATGTCGCGAAAGTCGAGCACTCCCTCACTCTGGAACCTTCACGTCTCGCCACTAGCATCCTCCCACTCATCTGGCACTCGTGGATTCCACCCCAGCTGTTGCAATGAGAGAATAAGTGCCCCCATTGGTCCTGTCACTGATTTCCACTTTCCACGGGTTCGCATGTGGGCCAGACTTTCGATATTAGCTTGCCAGCCTTGTCGTAGCCGTTGATGCGCTGAGGTATCCTTTTGCCACATCTGTACCCATTCACGTACTTGTCGCTGCAGGCATGCCGTAGCTGGCTCGTTCTCGCCGTAGAATATGATATTGATTGTTGATGTGCATCTGCCGCCAGTTGTAAATCCAACCATCTCTGCCGCCTGAGCTCGCGCTTCACGCGCTGCATTTGGACTGAGCCCTGTAACTGGCCAGTCGTAGCTCTGCTTGGCTCTCAGGTTGGAATTGAAGAGCATCGCCGTTCTTCGCCGCCATTGGCCCTTCTGCTTGCTGAAGATCCTGGCACGCTTTGCGCGCAGCTTTGCCGGCTTAGTCCTGGTCGTTCGCGTGGCTGTGACGCGCTGCCTTCCCAGTGCCGCATCTATGCCCAGGTCCTTGACGAACTTGGGAGTCTTAATGCTGATGCCCTTGCCTTTGAGGTGCTTCACGATGTACTGCTTGGTCACGTCGCAGTTCGTGAGGGGCGCTGACTTTCCTGAGACCACCAGCTTTGAGTCCAGGCAAGCCTGTACAAGCACATCGGCTGCCACTGGGAACTGCTCCTGGAACGGCTCGGCTTGACCTTCGACTCTCGTGTGCAGGTCATCAACAAACTCCTTCGTGATGGCCAGCGGCGCCGCATTGTGGGTGATGTCCAGGATAATGTAGATCATGGCCCCCGCAGCGTGGTTTGCCGCTGCACATCCCGCCGCTATGCCGTTCCATGGGCAAATTGGTTCAGCATGGTCGTGGCATGCGCGTGCCACGCGCGGGGATAGATACATTAACATGCGCATGTATAAGTTGACCTTCGGATAGTCAAGCTGCATGGCTCTTTGAATCAAGATGCTCAAACCCACGCGGTCGTACATTTTTTCTAAGTCCAAGTAGAATGTGCCATATAGTGATCCTTTGAGCTTCGCGCTGGTCTCGTCGAGCGACATAGAAAGTAACGCTGCACGGAGAGCCGAGGATCCTTGGATTGCTGCATCCCAGTAGCCCGCTTTCTCTGCGCACCACTCTTGCATTTCGCTCTTTGCCATTTTGCCCCACAATCGTACAGGGAAGGGTAGTAGTCCAATTGGCCTTTCCTCGCCGGCAGTGTTGGAGCCAGCTTTGACCAATAGGTGGTACCACAGGGTAGAATTGGTGTGGCCAGCATAGGTTCCGCTCGCACGAGTTGATTGCGAAGACCAGGCTGCGCTTGGCTTCGGGCGGTAGGGCCTTAATCTCAGGTGGTTGCCATTGGTCAGGACCACGCGCTGTAGTAGGTCGGAACTGCGTGAGCGCTGCTTTCAGGTCGTCGACGTTGTAGTACTCCCGCTGGGGTAGTTCGTCCTGTGCCGCTCGTCTTAATTCTGCCATCGCCTCCTCCAGCTTCTGACTGCTGTTGTGCCTCTGCCACCTCGTCTGCCACATCCTTGCACGACATGCAGTAGATTCGCGTCGAGCGCCTGTCTCCTCCTTCGTGACTGGGTCCACTGCTGTGTCTGGTAGGTCACGTCTTTCATGTTTGCTGATGTAGTTGTGGGCCGCGTTCGTGCTTCCTGACAACGCCGTTCTGGTCCATTGGCCAACTTGCTCTCTGATTTTCTTCCAGAGAATCCGCATATGCCAGTCCATGCGTGCCCTCGTCAACTCCTTAGCCTCCTGCCACTCTTGGATATTCTCGATGGTGTTCTCAGGCTCTGGGTCGTGACAGAGGTTGGTGACGCGGGACGCTAGGCGTCTCGCTTGTCTGTCAAGGTGTGCTGCTTCGTCCCCTTCTGCTGTGTCGAAGGAGTCCAGCTGGTTGACATAAGTCCTGATACTACTGCTAATCGTGTCCAGGTGCTTCTGGCTATCGATCGGGTGCCTCCTGGGTAAAAGTTCTCCATCATGGCAACGCTGATATAACTTCGACCATAAAGTACTGACTTGTCGTTGTCTATCTGCCGCTGTGTCTTCGAACTGCTTGCTCGCGACGTGCTGTGGGAATGGTGCCTCACGATAGCGGATTGGTTGCCCCCTCCTCGCCGTAGCCTTGATCGGGTTCTGCGTGACCGTAGCACGCGCCCTCTCCGCTGCATTCGCCCATTTGCCGTATGCTTTGCCGAGCAAGTCGCTCATCCTCGGGTTCTGCTTGTATGCCAACGACTCTTGGACCCACCTGGGGGGGGGGGGGGGGGGGCTCGGATTTGGCACGATGCCTCCTCCTGTCGGCATTCGCCCCAGATGGTCGGGTCGCACTTCATAGCCGCGGTTTCAGTGCAGTACGCGTCCAGGAGCGTGTCGTCCAGGAGCTCTGAGTCGAAGTGCTTTGCCATTTCTTGGTGCTGCTGTCTGTCCCTTTGCTTCCTCTTAATGCCCTTCTCTCGCCGCGCCTCCGTAGTAGGGATGGGTTTCTTAGCTGGGAGCATGGGCTTTCGGATGGTGATCATGTTCGGCTTGGCAAAGATCTCTATGACGATGCCTATGTGGGGTGACCATGGGACGTCATGCTGTGCTCGCACTGCCTTCAGGAGCGGGCGAAAGATGGGAGGGACCAATGCATAGTCAATCATCCTGCCCGACCCACTGCTGCACGTGTGACTAACGTGCTGTGGCACCACAATCGCTGCTCCAATTAGCCTTAGCCATGGCGTCGCCTCAAACTCCTGGGTGTGTTGTTGAGGTCACCGCAGATAATCCAGGGTGTGTTGCCCAGGCTGCGCGTAAGCTGCAAGAGGTGCTTCATCTTGCGAACATTCTCACCCGTAATTCCAATCGATGCCGTGAGGTATGCCGTGATGGCTGCAATCTCCTGTCCTTTGAGCTGCCTCTTGACGATGGTGATGTCGTGGAAGTCCTTGGCGAAGATGCTGTGGCCCTGCGCGTCTGGCAGGTGAATGCGGGTATCCAAGTGCCGACGACGAAGTATGCAGGTGCCTCCTAGCGTCCATTTCTTCGATCTCGGTGACTGTCGAGCAGGTGTCCAGGTCCCATGAGATCGCCAGCCCAATCGCATGAGCCTGTTAGCTTCGATCTCCGCCGCTGGTCCTCGCAAGTGGTGCTCATTAGACGCAATTATGTCGTACTCCTCGCTCTTCTCGTCCTCTACGAACTTCTTGGCGGCCTCATTGTACTGCGTGCAGTTGGCCACGAAAATTTTGACAGCATCCCTGACATCGTCATTCAGTTTGCTCTGCTTGGTGCCGTTGACGACTGGGAACGTTGATCCAGATTCTTGCGCCCCTGCATGATCTGGGTCCGACGCCATCGTAGCACTCGTAGTGCTCCCGCAAGTAGAAAAAGGGAGGCGACGCGGTACTCATAGCATCACCCCTGCGAGTAAAAACACCCTCGGTGATGTAGTCGACCTCGCCGTCGATCCAGACCGTCTCAACGTACACCGGCCTGGGGTTGATGCTTGGTCCTTGATGAAGGCCTGCTGCGAGTGGAGGAGGAGGAGGAGGAGGAGGAGGAGGTAGGAGGAGGCGGAGAGGGAAGAGGGAGGAGGAGGAGGAGGAGGAGGAGGAGGAGGAGGAGGAGGAGGAGGAGGGGCGAGGCAGGAGGAGAGGAGGAGGAGGGGAGGAGGAGGGGAGGGGAGGAGTGAGGAGGAGGAGGAGGAGGAGGGGGAGGAGGAGGAGGAGGAGGAGGAGGAGGAGGAGGAGGAGGAGGAGGAGGAGAGGAGGCGGAGGAGGGGAGGAGGAGGAGGAGAGCGGAGGAGGAGGAGGAGGGAATGGAGGAGGAGGAGGAGGAGGAGGAGGGGAGGAGGTGGAGGAGGAGGAGGAGGAGGAGGCGGTAGAGGAGGAGGAGGAGGAAGAGGAGGAGGAGGACGGAGAGGAGGAGGAGGAGGGAGGAGGAGGAGGAGGAGGAGGGGGTGAGGGGGCGGGGGTGAGGGGAGGAAGGAGGGAGGAGGGGAGGAGGAAGGAGGAGGAGGAGGAGGAGGAGGAGGAGGAGGAGGAGGAGGAGGAGGAGGAGGAGGAGGAGGAGAGGAGGAGGAGGAGGAGGAGGAGGAGGAGGAGGAGGAGGAGGAGAGGAGGAGGAGGAGGAGGAGGCGGAGGAGGGAAGGAGGAGGAGGAGGGAGGAGGAGGAGGGAGGAGGGGAGGAGGAGGGAGTGTCTTAAGTGAGGAGGAGGAGGAGGAGGAAGAGGGAGGAGGAGAAG